AAAAAAAAAAAAAACGCTAACAAACATCCATCCATCCATCCACCCATCCATCTAAACTTTCGCATTTATAATATTAGTAATATTGCATAAATATTGCAGATATAAATATTGCAGAAATACCACGACCACACAGAAGACAGGCGTGAAATGGTAGCAATTCCGTGTTTCGTCTGATGAGTGTGGTGCCGGAGGCCTAATTTTAGTCCTTTTGTTTTTACCACCCTTTTCTTACAAGGAGAGGTTGGGAAGGGGAAGTGGATTTGACGTTGGAAATGCATAGGAAGGGGCAATATCCTCTTTATGTGTATCTCCTCCGTCGGATAAGGGTAGGCAACGCATCTGCGATCGCGGATGTCTATGGGCAGCGGTCGCTTTGCCATTTTGGCGGTTGCCGCTTGCTCGTTTGCCATCTTATGTTATAAAAAAACAGTTGTTTGATAGTTTAGTCAAAGATGTGCACGGTAATGTTACATGTTTTCCAGGTGACATTTGCTGGACGAATGGAGTTGAAGGAAAATGTATATTACGTAACAACTGCCCGTCTGTGTTAATTGATTTAAACAAGGGAATAACGCCAGAGGTGTGTACATTTACACGTTTTTTAATTGAAAACATAAAAAAAAATCTCTTTGAATTTGTACAATTCAAAAAAATTATAAAGTAACCATAGTAGACATTTCATTTTCACATAATCACTAGCGCTATCTATTGATAGATCCTCAAAACCACATGTCAATATTGTATTTAATTTAACTGCCAATAGATGTCACTAAATCATAATAACAAATGATGGAGCTTATTATTTATTATTTATTATTGTAAAATATTCTATAGTACCTTTCAAAGAAATTACCGGAGAAAAAATTATTTACTGACTTTGTTTTTTTCTTTAACTAGTTAATAAATAGTTTTATTCAACAGGTATGTTGGTACGGGGTAAAGGGTGCGGTTGTTTGTTGTGTAGAATCGTCGCCAACTGTCACATCACCCAGACCTCACGCACTCACTACAACCAGGTAGGTTTTAGTTGAATTAAACATTGACTATGACCAACAAATCTAAATTATTTTATTAAAACATTCGAATGGAAGACTTAGTGTCTGTTCCACAAAATTGTAAATTGTCTGATAACGAACGTGTAAAACATGTGATGGAAGTATCTGATTTTGTTCCATTATCTGAAAGTGACGTCATTTTTAAGTTATCTGGGCCTCTATTAGCCAGTGGTGGGACAGGACCTAAAAGTTTACATAAACCAATAGACAATAAATGACAATGTTGGAGAGGATGGGAAGGAAAGTGGATTTGACAGTGGAGGAGATGCATAGGTAAATATCCTCTTTATGTGCGTCTCCTCCTCCGTCGGATAAGGGTAGGCAACGCATCTGCGATCGCGGATGTCTATGAGCAGCGGTCGCTTCGCCATTTGGCGGATTCTGGTGGCCGCTTGCTCGCTAAAAAAAAGTGATTTATTGTCAACTAGCTATTGCCGGCGACTTCGTCCTGTTATATCCGTAACTAGTATGTAGAAATGTTTAGTCTATGTTTTAATATTAAGTCATAGCATTTATGTTTGTATAAGTAAGCTTACAATTTAGGATGCAGGGCAATCTGCCGCGACACTTCAAACTACGCGTGAGCGGGTCTCCGGATCCTCAGATCTACGGATCTTAATCTAGTGTCGTAATTCATTGTATTTTCAAATTCAAGTGTATTTTATAATTAACTAGCTGTTCCCGTGCGACTTCATCCGCATGAAATTATGAAAATTTTGCTTTATTGTTTACATTTGTCAATTTTTCAATTACAAATGTCAAAATGAAATGACATGATGACAACCTTGCTTCCTTGATGTTGGCAGCAACTTATAGTCTCTTTCAGACATTAGGGTTTTTATCCAAATTTTACCCCTTTACTTTAATGGCGTTAAAATGTATAGCCTAAAGCGTGACGCAATTGTAGGGCTTTTTATGAAAAAAAGAGTTATTCCAAAACATGCTGTAATTGCTGACATCTTAGGCAACAGACAAGTGTGTGTTTACGCTTTATTATAATAGTTTAGATAAATATTATTCCTTTTTAAAAAGACTTTCGCGAAATCCCTTCTAACAGTCCGCATGAAATTAAAAAACAGCCTATGGTGTGCCTGTTTAGTCTTGAAAGAATGTTTGTAGTAATGTCCAGTAGTGTCTAAGTTATTTCAATACATACTAAAATATAAATCTTTTTTATTCATAACATCAGTATAGATATATACTATCTTTTGCAGTCCACTTGCGTCCGCGTAAAATTAAACAAAGTAACCTATGTGTTCTTCCAGACTATTCTCTACATGTATGACAATCATCGGAGATCCGTTTAGTAGTTTAGGATAACTCGCATTTATAATATTAGTAAGCTTAGTAAGATCTTGTTTCTAGGACAAAAATTAGGAAGACACTAGTAATACCGACATATGACTACAAGATCGACGATCGATTCCTCAGCGATTCTGTTTGCGAGCCGATTGATTCTGCATTAACTTCACCTAAAACTGGACAGAAAGCTTGGGACAGTTAGTATAACATTAGCATAAGTGTGTTAGGAGAAATGAATTATTACAAAGAGAACTATTACGGGCATACTTTTGACTCAACTATAGCACAACTGTTTAGTCACAAATTGAGCGTATATGGAGGTGAACACTCGATTTTTAGTAGTGGTAAACAGTTGAATTGTGAAACAATCGACAATCGCACAGTTGTACGATAGTTTGGTCAAATGTGTGCGCTCTTTTATAAGGTACGCCGGTAGTAGACCTAGAAAGAGATGGATTGCGTGAAAGGTGATATCAAGAAGGTAGTGACAGATGTAACCTACGGGAGTAAGATAAGGGGAAGATGATGAGTTGGTATAACATCTTCTCTTTGCCTCTTTCTCTATGCCCTCTGCCGATCTCCAAATCCACCTTTGCTCAAAGACACTACAACTTTATCGCACCTTACTTATATAACCAAATTCTTAACCAGACGAATACTAATATAGCTAAACTTAATTCTTATAAATTTAAAAAATATCTGATACAGTGGCTGTTAACACTAAATTATGAACAAACAGAAAACCTCTTAGTAATACCAAAATAAAACAAGCATAAAAACTCTTTCACTCTCCACACACACACACACACACACACACACACACATATGTGTACATAAATTCCACATGCGTACATATATACGCACTCACTCACACTCAGATACCCAAACACATGTATTTGATCACATATGTACCTAGACTAAGAGAAGGCACTGCCTCCTGTAATACAGGTCCCCACCTAGCTCAGGAGGCAGAGCCCATTGATTGTGTTAAACTGATCTTATCCATAAAGTGTTTTTTATTTTTATTTTTTTTTCTTTACCCTACTCCGGGTTAATGTATTTCACCATCTCAATCTCTCTTTTTGATCATTTTACGCATCTCTTTCTAGGGCTACTTCTACCGGTGTACCATACTCATAACTAACGTGCGAAACAAGATATGAATTTAGTTATGATGGCTGATAGAAATGCCGACCTTAAGGGTGATGATTGGTTTCCAGAATGCATAGAATACCAGGAGAAGCTGGTCTATCCCTGCAAGAAGAGTAACACGCTATCCTGGGACATCGGCGGCGTGCGAATGGAGCGCGTCACCAGCTGCAACCATGATGCAGACCGTCTTATTATTGGTGGAATTAACGCCACCAGCGGGGAGTTCCCACATATGGTATGGTCTTTTCAGTCATTAACTTGCCCTTGTCCCTGAGGGTAGGTATAATCGCTCTTTACATTTCTATCAGCCGTCATATCTGAATTAACTCCCTTCAGTCTACCTTTCAGTCTTCTTTAAGTATACTAAAAGTTTACTCGATGTTTTTTCATATGGATTTTTATTGTCTTCTATAAACTTTTGATGTCTAGTTTTGTATATTCCTATGTGGTTTATGGTCTTCTCTTAGTCTACTGCAGATTTTTCTAGATTTATTTCTGTTTCTAAACGTGTTTTTATAATTACATTGTCAAAAGAATTAAGTAGCTACCTGATTTCGCTGAAATACGAAAGTAACTGTCTATAGACATAATGAAATGAGGTAAAGAAATAAAGGGAAGGAGATGTGGATTCATCAGGGGATAGGATGCTTAGGAAGGGGGAACATCTCTCTGTGAGTCCCATTAACGTCCGTTAAAGCCAACGCATCTAAAATCGCAGACGTCTTTAGGCAGCGGTTTCTTCGATTTTCTGGCGAATCCAGTCCCTACTAAGTCATAAATAAGTTATCTTTCATAACTTAGTTTAATGTATTCTACAGGCATTACTTGGATACAAAAAACACGAAGAAGATATCCAGTGGTCGTGCGGGGGTTCTATCATAAGTGAGCGATACATACTGACAGCGGCACATTGCACGTACAGCGTCGGCGTGTAAGTTACTTAACTATGACTTAAGTAACTTAACGCTAACTCAATTCTAACTTAACGTTAACTTAGTTCTAACTTAACACTAACTTAATTCTAACTTAACACTAACTTAATTCTAACTTAACACTGACTTAATTCTAACTTAACACTAACTTAATTCTAACTTAACATTAACTTAATTGTAACTTAAGAATAACTTAATTCTAACTGAACACTAGCTTAATTGTTACTGAACTAACTTAATTGTAACTTAACAGTGAACTTATTCTTTTGTTTTTCTGCTAAATTATTACTATATATGTTAAAAAAAACTTAAATTTAAAAAAAAAAACAGATATCTACCGAAAAATTAGTTACTTTGTGTTCATAATAAACTCAAAAACTACTTTAACCCAACATAAATAACTATATTTTTATTTTTATTATTGTTTTTTTGTCTACACATTAAAAAACCGCCAAATTCCAGTGGTCGTGTGAAATATGCCCTAGTTGGTGTACTAAGTAGGTCTGAGATAACGGAAGGCTCCCTGCGGTATGACCTGGAGATGCCTATCAGACATCCCTCCTACAAACCACCCTTGAAATATCACGATATAGCATTACTGAAGACTACCACTGAGTAAGTAATCTTATTAATATGTAATAAGACTTCTTAATTTAAGATTTATCATTTTTAACTTGAAATACGATATTTTTAACACTAAACACCACATTTCTAAATCAACACGACAATTTTCAAACAACAAATACGTTTTTAGCACCGAATACGACTTTTTTAACACCAAATTCGATATTTTTAACAACAAATACGTGGTTTTAACACTAAACGCCACATTTCTTAATCAACACGACAATTTTCAAACAAAAAATATAATTTTTAACACCAAGTACGACTTCTTTAATAAATTCGACATTTTTAACATCACAACTAAATCTTTTTTATTTATAACTACACAATCTTTCTCCCGCAACTCCGTCTGTGTGGAATTAAAAAAAATAAGTAGCCTATGTATTCTTCCAGACTATCCTCTACATCTATACCAAGTTTCAACAATATCCGTTCATCAGTTTAGTCTACAAATTTTAACAAACATCCATCCATCCATCCATTTCACATTTATAATATTAGTAAGAGGGTAAAGTTTTTCACAAGTATATATTTGAGTTTGTTTGTATATAAATTCCATTGTAATATTCGATTCGTAATTTTCCCCGGAGTAGTATATGTTACCTCGACACAAAACATCTACAGCGGACGTGAGGATAGGAATTCTTAAAAAAATTGACAATTCCGAGTTCGAATCCCACTCGTGATATCTTTTTTTTTATTTTCAAAAATTTTTTAAAAATTTTCAAATCGAAATTAAGTCAATAAGATTTTTTAAATTCATTTTGTAATATCAGTATTATATTTAGGATACAATTAAGCGCTAATGTAGTCCCGGCTTGTCTACACGTAGACGTTAGCGCGGACGACGCGCTCGCGCTGGCCTCAGGCTGGGGGTACACCAAGCACAGGGGCACAGTATCTGATGTCTTACAAAAGGTACGCTGGTACAATCGCGGAGAGACGCGGTGTTCAGTACAGAATTCTTGCTTGCAAAGACAAACGCCTCTTCTAAATAACCAATTAGGTTCCGCAAATGTTATTATAGTGTGTCTAAATAAGATAGATTAGTTTGATAAATGACGCATATGAAGTATCGAATTCAATTTGTATGAAGGCAAATGCCGTACTTAATAGACCGGTATCGTAGTGACGAAACAAACACACAAAACGAACAATTTTGAACTATCGATATCCGGTTAAAATAATTATCGAATTTAACTAAAATAATTTTCTTATTCACTAATCTAGAGGACAATTCTAGTATTGATTATAGTGTAGAGAATTTAGCGATGACAGAAATAATAGCGAAATCCAATTCGATTACGTACGGCTGTAGTAATAAACATTTATTTACTCATATTATTTGTTTATGGTCATTATTAATTTGAGAAAACAGTGTTTTTTATTTATTTCATAAGTTATAACTATAAATCTATCGATTCCAACTTCTATAAGATTAAAAATCGAAAATCGATAAGATTCATGACTGATTTTACACAACCCATCCCTATTAAATTTGAAAAGAATTGTCAAACCAATCTAAATTATTTAGACACACTATAAAGTGCAATTATCCGTGTAATGACCGACTTTAGTACACAGCCAGTGGTAGTGCCCGATTTAACATCTTAGCACTGCAGGGCCGGCTCGCCCCCAGTAATACCACGACCACACAGAAGACAGGCGTGAAGTGGAATCAATTCCGTGTTTCGTCTGATGAGTGTGTTGCCGGAGGCCCAATTTAAGTCCCTTTCTCTTTACCGCCCTTTTCTTATAAGGAGAGGATGGGAAGGGGAAGTGGATTTGACGGAGGAGGAGATACACAGGAAGGGGAAATACCTCTTTATGTGCATCTCCTCCTTTGTCGTATAAGGGTAGGCAACGCATCTTCAATTGCGGATGTCTATGGGCAGTGGTCGCTTTGCCATTTTGGCGGATTCACGTGGCCGCTTGCTCGTTTGCCACCTTTTGTTATAAAAAAAAATATTAAAAGCGTACTATGTGTACTAATCGTACCAATTGTATTGAAAAACACTGCTTATTTTTTCTATTTTTTAATACGAAAAGAGGTTTGTCCTACGAGTTTGTTAATAATTTTTATTTGTAACAATCTACAGCCTTAACTGAAACGATTTTGTTGAATAAGATGTCATTAGATTCTTCTCTCAGAGTGTCATAGAGTATATCAACACAAAACTTCTAGAGTGGACGTGAGATATAAAAATCTAAAAAAATAGTGAAAAAAAAAAATTCAAATTCCATTTTCTCTTAATTTTTTTATGTTTTCGAGTATTTTTCTTTATTCTAGCTATTTTTAAGTTAGATTACTAATAAGTTTTTACGAAGGATGTTGATGACTAAATTCCCTGCAGGTAAAACTAGAGAAGTTCTCAGAGCAGGAATGTTTACAAAGGTATCCAGGCAACAGATATTTGAGACATGGGTTTGACCCTGACACTCAGATCTGCTATGGTGATCACGACGAATCCAAGGATACTTGTCAGGTATGTAAGACATTTATATAATAGTAGCTTTCGCTCGACTCCATTCGCGTGAGATTAAAAAAAATAAAACTGAGTATCCTATGTGTTCTTCCAGACTATCCTCTACATCTATGCCAAATTTCATCGAAATCCGTTCAGCCGTTTAGGCTACAAACTCTAACAAACATCCATCTAAACTTTAGCATTTATAATATTTCTACATATCTATACTATTATAATAAAGCGTAAACACACACTTTTTTGTTGCCTAAGTTGCCAATTACAGCATATTTTCAAATAACTCTTTTTTAATAAAAAGCTCTACACTTACGTCACGCTTTAGGCTATACATTTTCACGCTAATAAACATAGGGGGTAAATATTTTGGATAAAAACCATAATGTGGGAAAGGGACCATAAGTTGCTGCCAACATCAAGGATGCAAGATTGCTAAGTTTTGTCATGTCATTTTGACAATTGACACTTTGACAAATGTGAACAATAAAATAATTTTATGCCGAAGAAATCGCACGGGAACAGCTAGTTTCTTTTAATATATATTTTTTTATGATATAGGGTGACAGCGGCGGTCCTCTACAACTGAAAAATCAGAAGATCAAATGTATGTACACTGTAGTTGGGGTGACTTCATTTGGCTCGGGATGTGGGTTGATTGGCCAGCCAGGAGTCTACGTTAAGGTGACAGCTTACGTTCCTTGGATTGAATCCATCGTGTGGCCAAATGACACATCGAGTACTTAAGTTATTGCCTGTATAAAGAAATAAAGATTTTATCAACAAAATATGCGTTTTAATTATTATTTTTAATAAGCTTTCTCCGTCATCGTGGTATTAACAGTGGTAGTGCCCGCTTTAACATGTTAGCACTGCAGGCACGCTCCCAGCAATACCACGACCACACAACACAGGCGGGAAATGGAACCAATGCCGTGTTTCGTCTGATGAGTATGGTGCCGGAGGCCTAATTTAAGTCCCTTTCTCTTTACCACCCTTTTCTTACGAGATGATGGAAAGGGGAAGTGGATTTGACGATGGAGAAGATGCATAGGAAGAGGAAATGTCCTCTTTATATGCGTCTCCTCCTCCGTCGGATAAGGGTAGGCGACGCATCTGCAATTGCAGATTTCTATGGGCAGCGGTCGCTTCGCCATTTTGGCGGATTCAGGTGGCCGCTTGCTCGATTGCCATCTTATGTTATAAAAAAAAAATTAAAAAAAGTTATCCATACTATCTACACGTATGACAATCATCGAGATCCGTTTAGTTTAGGCTAACTCTAACGAACATCTAAACGTATTTATAATATTTAGGATCTGTCCCACCACTGGCTGATAGAAGCTCAGATAGCAGATAGCTCAGATAGGTAACAAAATCCGATATTTCCATCACATTTTACATGTTGGATTGTTATCAATTTACAGTTTGGTGGGACTGGCCCTAAGTAAGATTAGTTAAGATAAATCATATAATGTCATATATATCATACTGTTACGAGCGTGAGGGATAGAGTCATAACGCCTTGGAAATTTCTGCGTTAATTTATTCGCGACTTACAATAACAGGGATTCACTGCACTCACAAATCGTCCGTTAAGACTATACGATGCACGCAAACACTGAATCACTAACTCAGCGCACTTTACAGAACACCACTGTCACTATTCGCTAGCACTTTCATTCCGCGGTCACTTAGTCTTCTTCGTAATTTCGTAATTCGCTCAGGACTTCTTCTTCACAGTTCACTTTCCACCGTCTAACTCCCCGAGTCACGACTGATTCCCCTTATATACCCCCAATTTCGATCTTCTTTTCGTTATTCATTTGTCATTTTATTCCAGAACTTTCTAGATAGGATTACATAAATTTCATAATGAAACATTCTCGACGCCGTTGCGAATGTTCGAGACATCTTTTCGCAAACGTCATTTTCGCTGCTCGCGGCGATCGAACATTCTGGTAACAGCTCGATTATTCCTCGAATATGATTTTCGCTACTCATCAATAGATGACGTCGCGACAATACTAATATTATAAATGTGAAAGTTTAGATGGATGGATGTTTGTTAGAGTTTGTAGCCTAAACTGCTGAACGGATTTCGATGAAATTTGGTATAAATGTAGAGGATGGTTGCAACGGTTCAACATATCTTATGGAAATTTTGCACAGATATAAAACAAAGTCTGGAGTATACATGGGATAAGGTTCATCCCTGAGAAATGTCCGGTTCACGAGGGATACGTACCGATATTTATGTAGTTCGTATGTTTTCTAATACCACGCTGACGAAGTCGCGGGCAACAGCTAGTATCTTATTAATTAAAGTTTGAATTGAAAAACACGACATGTTACATTGTTTATAACATTTGAAATAGAGTTAAGTTACATGGCATAGATTGTGTTCACTTCAATAAAATCCGAGGATACCGAGCGCTTGGAATTCTGAAACAATTGAGTGACTTATTTTTTTAATTTCACAAGCGGAGCGTTGATGGCTCAGTGGTTTAAGCATTTAACTAGTAATCTACAGGTCTTGGGTTCGAATTCTGTACCAATGTGATTTTCGATTTTTCGAATTTCATATGTACATAGTTTACCTGACGTTCTTACGGTGAAGGAAAACATCGCACATATCAGCGAAGAAATTCAAAGATATGTGTGAAGTCAACCCGCAGTGCAGCGTGGTTTGACTATGTCCTAGTCACCACCTTATTAGGGTAGGGGCAGCCCCTCGGTGGGGACGTAAAGTGAGCTGGTGATGATGAATTAATTTTACCCAACTCGAAGTGACCGCTGCTCAAACATCCACAATTGCAGATGCGTTGCCTACCCTTAATTGACGGAGACGCACATAAAGATATTTCCCCTTCCTATGCATCTCCACCGTAAAATCCGTTTTCCCTTCCCACCCTTTTAAGAAAAGGTGAAAGGGAAAGTGTCTAAAATAATGCCTGTGGCACCACGCTCATCAGACTGTACGTATTGCTTCCACTTGTGCCTCGTGTAGTCGTGGTATTGCACAGAGCGAAGCGAGCGAAGGCCAAACTTTAATCCATTTTCCTTCCACCCTTTTTCTCATAAGAATAGGATGGAAAGGGAACGTGGATTTGACGGTGGAGGATACGCATAGGAAGAGGAAGTATCCTTTTTATGTGCGTCTTCTCCTCACTCGAGGGTAGGCAACGCATCTGTAGTTGCGGATGTCTATGGGCAGCAATAGCTTTGCCATTTTGGCGGTTTTAGGAGGCCGCTTGCTCGTTTGCCACCTTATTGTAAAAAAAAGCCCTACAGTGCGAGCATAAAGCGGACTCTAACACATGTTATTGTTTTGTTTTAATTCTCTCACCTGCTTCGGCACCAAACAACAGCAGTCTCCTCCACAGTTGGGTCCGCAAGCCTCTTGTGTGCATACTATTTCTTGATCATCTGCACATCAAAAACAAACATAATACCTACGTTTTTTTTTTTATCATAAGGTTGGCAAACGAGCAAGCGGCAACCTGAATCCACCGAAATGGAAAGCGACCGCTGCCCACAAACATCCGCAATAGCAGATGCGTTGCCTACCCTTAACTGACGGTGGAGACCACGCACATAAAGAGGACATTTCCCCTTCCTATGCGTCTCCTCCACCGTTAAATCCACTTTTCCTTACCATCCTTTCCACTTAAGAAAGGGGTGGAAAGGGAAAGGGACTAAAATTAGGCCTCCTACTAGCTTATGCCCGCGACTCCGTCCGCGTGGAATTGAAAAAAACAAAAATGAATTGCCTATGTGTTATTCCCGACTATCTTCTACAAATGCCAAATTTCATGGAAATCCGTTCAGCCGTTTTGGCTACAAACTCTAACAAACATCCATCTAGACTTTCACATTTATAATGTTAGTAAGAAGTAAGATTATTTACAATTTAAACCAGAGATAAATCAAGCGAAACATTTTAAAGTGAAAATATGAATTCAACAAACCAAGTGGAAATCTTCTGGAAGTGTGCGCCTCGGCTAAATATGCTACATGAACAAGAAATTAATTTTGATTTAATTATTAAATAAAATATGTTTTTATTCGGTACAAAATACGACATTTTCGGATAATTATATAAATACCTGTTAACGCAAACATTATAACAAATGTCTTTAACATCTTGTTTATTTTTTACGCGCGGAATGTGACAGCTGTTTCAAAATGGCCGACGTTTTACGGATAAATAAACGTATTTTATAGGAGAGATTACCTTTATGAAATTCAATTAAGTATTCTACTGTAACGAATGAAAAATATAGAAATAGAAAACTAAATGTAATAGTTATTTCGCGGTTTATTTTTTTGATTTGATAAGCAATTTGTTATATTACCTATACAAATATTATAAAGAGAACATAATTGTATTTTTATATGTATTGAATATCTCAAAAACTACTGGGCCGATTTTAAAATTTTTTTTCACCGTTAGAAAGGTAATTTATCTGTGAGTAAGATAGGCTATTTTATGTCGACAAAATCGAGAGCAACAGCTAGTGTTATATAATCTGCATATGACTTATTCTACATTGATGCGTTTGGTTGTTGCTTGCGGACACAGGCTACTTTTTTAATACGTACATCTCCGACAGACATTTGAGAAAAAGCATAGTGAACAGATTTTTTTACTGGTACTTTCGTTAAAAGGTATATCAGTCAAGTCTAGTGCCATCTTGTGTCTTTGTATTGACATGTAGAACATTTTACAACAATTATAATAAGCTCCATCTTTTGTTATAAATTAGAAACATTTGAACACATTAGTCAACGACATCTGTTGAGTTATTATCGAATGAATGTGACTACAAAGGTAGAGACCGAAGAAAGTATGGATTGTGTGAAAGAGGATATGCTTAAAGAAAAGAGTGGATTCAGATATGGCTGATAGAGATGTATGGAGCAGCAAATACGGTGCCGACTCTCTGTAAAGTATAAGGGCAAGTTGATGATGAATTAACGACATCTATTGGCAATTAAATTAACTAATTATTGTTACAGTTTTAGGATGTAACAACAGATGGCGTTGGTGGAATTTACGAAACATTCTGGCCTACATAAAATTATTCTTGAATCTCTTTCGAGTTGAACTAATTTTCAAAGTAGTAAAACTCATGTCTGTTAGGAAACGTAATTCATTTTATGAAACCAATAACTAAAGAAAGGTTAAAAGTAGGGTAACTGGCCATTAACAGTTTAAAGTTTTTTGTCTGTTATATTTTATGATTAAAAAAGTTATTTTTTTAAATTAAATGCGAGATGTAAATAATTATTTATTGATCGTATAAAATGCTTTCCTTTAAATAATGTAATACATATATTTGATCAATTTATTGCTCATCGAAATCGAATTTGAACCTTCCATCATCCAGGATGCTGTTCCACCAATCCAGATCTTCAGGAGTATAAGCTTTGAAACCTTCAACATCTAGGACATGGCTGGGCATCTGAAAACAAAAAAGATATTAAATAAACTAACGCACATCTGTTTATAGTTTGTCTAAATAAGATTAGTTTGACAATTCATTTCATATTTAGTAGGGATGGGTTGTGTAAAATCAGTCATGAATCTTATCGATTTTCGATTTTTATTCTTATAGAAGTTGGAAACGATAGATTCATAGTTATAACTTATGAATTAAATAAAAATACTGTTTTCTCAAATTAATAATAATCATAACAAATAATGAGAGTAAATAAATGTTTATTACTACTACAGCCGTACGTAATCGAATTGGATTTCGCTAGTATTTCTGTCATCGCTAAA